TTGCAGATTTCTATCGATAGTATTTTGCTGCAGTGTTGGTAGGGATAAGATGGGTGATATATTTTTTTTCTTCAAAATTTGGTATTATATCATGTGCAATTCTAAATAAGAGCAAAAAATAGAGGTACCTGATGGATCTGAAGCTGTATGTTGGAAGCTCTTCCCTTGAAGGAGTGTACAGAATTTGACTCAAGATGAAACTTCACAGGTGATGCCTCTCACCAGTAAGATCCCCAGGTGGTGGGAGCAGTGGATCAGATGTTTGTGGCTATTGTCTGTATAATCGTCGATCATGAGGGTATAGCACAGCCTCAGCTGTATTTTACAAGCTCTTTCAAGCAACAGCACTTCCCTGGTGGCTTGCTTATGGTGCCTTTTCGTTAGAAACTACTATGATGGGATGTACCCAGTAGGTCAGTTTTCTATATTTTAAAGAGAGTTTGAATTTATTACTGCTTTTGGAGTTAATTTTCACCTGGTAATCTGAATTCCCGTGGCTAGATTAGTTTTTATACTTCCAGACCATGCTGTACTTTAATGAACTGATGGCAGTTGGAGGTTGTTAAACTGTTGCTGTTGCAAGCTGATCAGGATCAATGCATTATAAATTCTTTGCAAATTAAATGTGATAACTTTGTGGAAAGTAGTTTGCTCTAGCTGCTAGTTTTCCTTTGGAAATACCTACTGTCTTCTGTAAACCAGAAGATTCAAGTAGTAGACATCAGTATTAATTATCAAAGGTGGTTGTGAGGGGAACAATAGGAAAACAGTGCATTTTAGAATTTCTGAAACTGTTGGAAAAATTTGTGTTGCAACAAATATAAATAATATTTCGTCATTATAAATACTGTTGTAAGTCTAAAAACTAAGTTTATTTTTGTGTATGAATGAATACAGTAAGTATGCTCTATGAAAAGTCAGTGAAACAACATGAAATGTGGTTTTGAAATGTTGATTCCAGTCTGCAAGCTGAATACAGTTGATGTTCTTGAATGCATGCTGAGGAAAAAAAGGATGGCTGTTAATAAAAATAATAAAACCCCAAGTCCTTTCAGTATAATTGCAGCAAACTGTATGTTTAGCCTGAGATCAGAGCCTTTGTACACTGTTAGAGCTTAGTAATCACTAGAAGATTGTTCTCTGCTCATGTGTCATTGCACAGCACTGGTAAGTGGTGAAGTGTTGCTGCTCCGACAGTGTCAGCTTGGAGTGGTGCCGTAGTGCCTGTCCCTGGCAGTGAGCTGGCATGTGCCAGCCTGGCAGCTTGGAGTAATGAAATGCCAAGATGGCGTTGCAGCGTTGTGTGGAAGTGGAGAAAGCATCATTGGCTCCAGCTTAAAGAGGAACGGGGTGGCGGGTTGTGTTAGGTGTGGCGTATTTGAAGACTTTTGAAATTGTCATTTCTCTTATACGAAAATAACTGGGACTTTATGGAAAGAAGTGGAGATGAAAGTCAGCAGATAAATTTCACACAAACTATTCACTTTTTTATAGAAAGAGAGATGCAATCACTATAGTTTACTATGAGAAATGAAAGTAAAGTCTAGAATCTTACTTTATGGAGGAAAAGAAAAAAATTAAGTCAATATTATCATAATGAAATCCTGTTAAAAATAATCAAGTTGGAGGTAGATTTTCTAATTGGTGAGGAACTTCATTATTTTTTCTTCCCATTCAGGTTTTTTTGGGTTTTTTTGTTTTGTTTTGTTTTTATATATATATATATATATATATATATGTGTGTGTCTGGGGATGAAAATATGTTAAGCTTTTAATCTTTCTAAGCTTTTCGAATGCAGGCAGATTTCCAGAAATTTGTGCTGCTCAGTTAACTGCATGAGCAGGGTAACTGAGCAAAGTTGCTTACTTGCAGACTAAGCAGGTCTTCAGGCTTGGCTGAAATAGATACTGTGTTTTAGCAGACCAACTACTCATTGCTCTTGCTGCTGGGATGTCTATGACCAGGATTTTCTTCTGCTGCTATTCATGGAATGGACTGATACTGTAGAACACCTTACAGTGTGTTTGGGTAGCCATGAGGTGAAAAGAAGGTTGTGTGGGCTCTTTGAGGACATCCATAGGCAGTAATCTATAAATAATTGCCGGCTGAGGTTCAAACCGGTGTCTTCAGGTTAATTTTTTAAAAAAATCTGAATCTGTTAAGGAGCTCTCCCTCTTTTCTTAAGGATTCAGTCTGTAGTTGTTAAACCTGTTATCTCCCGAGCTGGTGAGGAAGGGTGTACAGCCAGTTAGGACAGTTCCTGCTCAGCTACTCCAAACAGCTGGCCTGCTTTGCTGTGTCTTGGTGATTATGTGCACCAGTGAGTGTCCTGTGATCTCCTGATGGAGCAAGAGGATATAGTGGGAAAGGATCCCTTGTAGTTTGTGTATGTCCCCAGTGGTTCAGCAGAACATCTGGGCTGTATTTCAAGGGAAATCCTATGCCATTACTAAATGTAAAACAATCAGATGAGATATCCTTCTGGGTGTTAGGGCGCTGGAAGTCAAATCTTTGAAACAGTGGAGTATTTTCATAATTTCATTGCTGCTGATCTGGAGAAGAGATTCAGGTACCAGTTAAGAGGTGATTGGGTTTGAGGACTTGCGTCCCTTCAGCTCCTGGCTTCATTGTGTTTAACAGTTGCTATCTCAAACTCTTCCTTTTTGGTGTCTTTGTAACATGGAATAAATATATGTGGGCTTGTTCTGTATGCAGCTTAAGATCTGCAGTAGCGGTTTCCTCCCAGAAAGGAGCCACTGCTGACTGGGATGCTAAAGCTTATGGGGAGCTGTTTCTTTGAGGTCAACTTAACTCCTGCTTTGAGCTCTACTGGGAGGAAAGGTATCTCTTGGCTAGTACAGAACTCTCTGTTGCAGTAGAGAAAAACAGAGGCAAAATGTTGGCAAAGAGCCCAGACTGGATGTCCTAATCTTGTTGTCAAATAGTGGGTGTCAAACAAAGTTTTGCTGTTGTCTGTTTGCACCTATGTGAGTCTGGGAGATGAATGCTGGTCTGGTAGGACAATATGTGTCAGTAAAGAAAAAACTTGATAACTGACTTGCAATTTTACAAGAAATGTATTTATTAAAGTCAGTGGTTTCTTTGTGAATCTTGTGGTTGAAGGCAACTGAGTAGAAAATGGATGGCTTCTGCCACTAGTTTTAACAGCTGACCATCAGACCAAACAATTTTTAAAAAATATTCTGGTGTTAAACCAAGTGATGATGATGACCTTAGTTTAATGCTGCACTATGATTGTCTTTGCCTAAAACTTTGCTAAATTTTACTGAGTGCTGGTTTTGTCCTGTCACTATCACTGGAGCACCATGCACTGGCCTGTTAAGTGACTTCGTTAATATTTGTCCAGGGTAGATTGCTGACTGGGATGTCCAAGGGATTAAATGTTGTACAATAAAAGCTCATCTCTTTGAGTTAAATATATTCACCCTGCAAGTATGAGGAAGCCATGGGGTACTTGGGTACTAAAAAGCCAAAGCAAGTATTTCCTTATTTTCGAGACGTAGAAGAAGAAGCTTCTCTATGAAATAATCCCATGTAAAGGTCTAGTCCTCAAACTGTCCAGTCTCTGAAATGTTTTGGTGCTTGAAGGCTTATTTTCTAATTCAGTTTTAAGAATTATAGCTGTTCCTTAAACAGAAACGTCTGCAGTTTAATGTCTAATAAAATCTAGTTATCCCCTGTTTGCGGGATGATGTTGCGGTGTTTTGGAAGCCAACACGGCAAGGCACGGGGGCTCTGTGGCTCCCGTGGGTGAGCAGGGGGAGCTTTGGCAGTGCTTTCACCGCGTGGGGCGACTCTTCGGCGCGGAGCGGTGGCTGCGGCGCTGGCGGGACGGAGGTCCCGGTCCCTGTGCTGGGCTGTGAGCGGCGGTCCCGGGGAGGGGACAACAGGCCCGGCCCTTTGTAGAAACCTGAGGCAGCCACACGCACCGAGGCAAAGGGAAGGGCTCCTGCGGGGGGAGCGGGAGCAGCGGGGAGAGGCCGGTAGAAATAGGTGAATTCAAGAGCGAGGGGCGAGGCGGGCCGCAGTTGGTGCCCGGCTGCGCGGAGGTCCCGCGCTCCTCCGCACCGCCCGGCCCGGGGCGGGAGGGGCCGCGGGGCGCCGGTAGCCGCGGCCCCGCCCCGCCCACGCGTGCCTCGATCCGCGTGTCGGGGGCACGCGGGGTCCGGGCCGGGCCGTCTGACGCTGTGCTCTGCCCTCAGATGGCCGCGTGCGTGTGCCGGGTGGAGCTGTCCGTGGCCTGCCGGAGCCTCCTCGACGGGACCTGAGCTCCAGGTCGGACTCCCTCTGCGTCCTGCCGCAGGACGCGGGGCGATGGCCGCTGGGCTGAGGTAAGAGCGGCCCGCGCGCTGCCGGTGGCTGTACAAACGCTGAGTCTCCCCTTTTGCATCCCGTAGGTTTTCCTGGCAGGTGTGTGACATACTTAATTCAGATTTACGATTGGTGAGCAGTCACATTGCCCACACTCAAGCCTTCAGTGTTATCTTTAATTGCTGACTTGTTTGCTCAGAGTTGCATCAGGAGGCTCATTTGCCTGTAACGATGTGACTTGCTGTAGAGCACAAGCTCCAGAATACATTGTTTCAGCAGTCTTTTCCCCCTAGTTTCCAGAATTTTCCCATACAATAGCGTTTTTCAATGCCATTTCCTTTCTCGGTGAGCCATCGGTCAGCCCAGTTTGTCACTGAGCATGAGGCATGGTGCAGGGTGTGTAGCCTTGCTGGTGCCTGTGTCCACTTGGTGCAGGTAAAAAGCTGTGTAGGAGAATATGGGCTTGTTACTCATTGTCAACAGCTTTGCTCCTGTGTTGTTTTGCAGCTAGATCACACGGAAAAGGTCAAGAACTGCCAAGACCCTGAATTCTGCAAGAAACTGGTTGTGGACTACTACTTTGAGAAAGTACAGAAGCTAAAATTCAGCGTGTATGATATTGATAACAAGTCCTTTGATTGAAATGATGATGACTACCTGGGAGGGATTGAGTGTGCACTGGATCAGGTGCGTGTAGACGTGTTAAATGATGTACAAAATAGCAGCAAAAGTTGGCTTTACTATGAAAAATGAAGTGAAAATGTGCTTTGTCAAAGGCTGAAACATATTCAGATTTGAAAACACTGTTAAACATGTTTGTTTGTGTTACCATTGAATGTGGTTAGAAAAATCATTATGTCGATCAAAGCAAAGGTTAGAAATACATGTATTTTGTAATTAATTGCTTAACTTAGGAGGCACTTCAAGAGTAATTCTTTCCTCTTTGTCTAACATGATATTTTTATTATTATTTTTTTATTATCTGTCTTCTAACATTAGGTTCTGTCCAGCTCAGTGTTCGCCCAACTGCTGGAACTGAAGCAGGAAAAGCCAGCAGGAAAGGGCACTATTACAGTAATAAGGCTTTTGTTTGAAAAAACTCTCTCAATATATTGTCTGGGATAAAGTGGCTTTTCTGGTTTCTTGTCAGTATATCTTCAAATGCTACATATATACAGGAGAGAGATATTTAACAGAAATTACAGTTTCTTTTATGGACAAAATATAAGCAAAACTCTGTGATTTCTTGTTTACACTTTTTCCCCCCCTAAATTTCCATGGCAGGGATTTCAGCAGAGGAGATTAAGGATACCAGGGTTGTGTACATGGAAATTGAAGCCCAAAACTTGGACAAAAAGGTATTGATTTTAAAAATAATATCTTGCATACTTCTCTAGTAATTACATTTTGTGCCTTTTGGTCAGGAATCTCTGTGTTTGCAGACGTTAAGCTAAGCCAGTAATCCATTTGTGAGCAAAGGCTTGCTGTATTTTGTGTTATTTACAGTGGAGTAAGTTGGAGATACAATTGCATGTTGAAGTCCACAATGTCAAACTAGAAACTCAACTGCCAGGTTTAGGTTTTAAAGTATTATTTTGGTTTTGAATATTCTGTATGTGAATACCAATCACTTATATAATTGTCTCAAGCGAACTGATATTTCAGTAATTTTGTTAAAGAAGAAAAGGTGGAAATTTAGGTGTTCTGCTCAATGTTATTTTAAGACCAATACAGGGATTTAGTCACCTAACTCTCAGTTAGCAAACTGATGCGATTTGTAGGGACAAAAGTGGTTTGAGGAGGAGATCTTGGAATTGGAGCTTATAAATGCTGATGACTTACAGAGTGCAGCAGTTTTTAAAAGGAAAATAAAAAAAGAAAGAAAATTAATGCACAGTTTGTTTGACTTCATTCTTTTTTGAAGTATTGTCTACTATTTAGTTAATTCTTTACTCATTTTGGTAAAATATAGAGGAGGCTGATTACTTCTGGGTTTTTGTGTGCAGGATTTCTTAGGTAAATCAGATCAATTTCTGGAGTTTAACAAGCAGAGCAATGCTGGAGCATGGCAGCTTGTGTACAGAACAGAGGTAGAATTTCCACAAAGTGTTTTCCTTGAGTTGATCGGACAGCTTATTCTTATTCAAAGTGAGAGAGAGTCCCACTCCTGGTCACGCTTTGCACCAGTCTTGCGGAGAAAGTATCGTATAAAAAGGTATTCTGCTCACTATGGCTGCAGCAAATTGTTTATTTGCTGCCTGGTGACTGGATGGAACTACCTGAGTAAGGAGTCTGACCACGGACAGCAAATGAGAAGAGGGTCTCTCTTCCTTCTCATTGGTGTTGAGCTTGGCTGTAAAATGTAACTTCACTGAGAGCATCAAGCTTTTATTTCTTGCAGAGCTGTTGCTTGGCCATTGATACATGCCAGGATTGAACTGGTTGAAGCTATTCTTAACTTGCCATGAAGAGCCCTCATGTCATCATTCCTTGTGAGTTGCATGCTGTATTCCTCATGTGACATTACGCTGTCATATTTTTAAGGTCATCAAGAACAACTTAAATCCATGCTGGAGGAAGTTCAGTTGTTCCCTTGCAAACTTTCTGTGGTGGAGATTTAAATAAACCTATCTAGGTACAGCCTTTAGAAATTCTCTTTGTTGTTCCAAGTCCTCAATTTTCTGTTGATGCTAACTATGAGTTATCAGGTTGTCTAGTCATATTTAAGTTATTAGATTGCCTTTCTAGAATTGTAGTGCAGCAGATAAGGGATTATATGTCTGTTTTAAAATATGATGAGTTGTCAAATTGAGAAGTCAGGAAATGCAGAAGTGACACAGTTTCCAATGATTAGTCATAAGAAGAATTGTAACTGGTTTTTTTTCACTATTCTGGCCCAGGTTTCAAGTTGAGCTTTGGTGATGGTGTCTTGGTTGGTTGGGTTTTTTGGGTTTTTTTCATTGCGGCTTTCTAGCACTGCTTCTAAGTTGACTGAGAAACGTGCAGATATTGGACAAACTTAAGTGCCTTGGGATATTAACACAGAGAGGTCTTTGAGTTATCTGTCAGATTTATCCACTCAAGAGACTGGAAGGTTTTCCCAACTCTTTTTCTATCTTTTTCAAGTAGAAATTTAGTTTTGAGTCAGAATTGCATTCCCCTGTGGTCTTGTATATGATAATTAATTCTTTGTGTCCCTGGCTTGTGGAGGTATAGCAGAACAACTGCATATTTTAATATGTTTCTACAAAAGAAAAATCTGATAGCAACTTAATATGGTAATTTCTCTTCTAAGCAATGCATTGATAATTTAAAGGCATTTAAATACATAGATTGTTCTGTGTGAGTGTAATTTCTTTCTACTTTTCTAACACCTAAATGCTTTACATTCGCAGAATTTTACTTCTTCATCCTCTCTCTGAAGAAATCTCATGCTGAAAGCTTGATATGGAAGATTTAGCAAAACACATGCATGCTAATGTTGTTCTTTGTGCAGTATGGTAGTTCCTAATAATTACTGAGATTATTAACCTGGAAATAGGTGTTCAGGTGTTGTCTTGGTGTAAAAGACAGGTATCTGCCAAAGAAGGCGGGAACCTCCTATGGAAAGATGACTATGACCCTCTTCCGTCTGAATTATTATAACTTTGAAATGACAGAGCTTTCAGGCAAAGATACCTGAAAAGGAATAGCAGTTCCTTACTACATGACAGTGTGTGTGTATAACATGGCAAACCAGCTCCAAGCCGGCAGCACGGACGAGCAGACGCAGAGCCGCAGGGCCGGCCTTGTCCCGGCTGCAGGCCCCTTCCCCTGCGGTGCAGTTCCGGGCACAGCCGGCAGGGGCGCTGCTGGCTCCCGGCCGGGCAGGGCGGGGCGATGATTCCCCCGGGGCTGCAGGGGGCGCTGTGGCGCGAGCTCGGCCGCCTCTCTGCGCACGACAATGGCGGCCGGGCTGGCGGAAGGGATGCACAAGGGGCTTCTTTGGCGAACTCACGGGAAGCAGCCAGGCAGGAACCTCAGAACAGCAGGCTGGAAGAGCAGAGGTGAGCAGACCCTGGGTGGCAAACAAAGTGTAGCAAAAAACCCGAAGCTGTGGCAGGAGCAATGGGGGTCCAGCAGTGGCAACGGCTCCCACAGGCAGCAGGGAGGTGCTCCCACCAGAGGGAGAGAGGGGTCCTGGGTTTCCCCTGAGGTACTCAACCACTTGATGAGGGTCTCTTCCAGTGAGGTTGGTTGTTGAAAAGGTCCCAGTTCAACTGCTGGTCTTAATGAGCAGAGGCTCACCCAGGGTTAGGAGAAGCAGTGAAGGACAAAACTCCACAGTGGTGAAGCCTTTGGGCAGCAGCAGTTCAGCACCAAATTAGTCTTGGTATCTCTGCACTTCGCAAGAGAAAATCTCCCCCAGGTACCAAGCTCACTCCCCAGCTGAGACTGCAGCCAACTACACCCCTTGTCCCCTCCTCCCCATCTTGGCCACATCTTTTGTCCCTCGTAGGCAACAAATGGGAGAAAAATTCCCTGAGAGAAAGAAAAAAAAAAAAAAAAAAGAAAAATCCAAACCTTGAACAGGTTGATTGGTGGCAGTGTTCTAAGTGGTGTTTGTGAGTTGTTATTGGTGGGGAATCAACAATCTTAGGTCAGAAAGAAGTCATCTTTGTTTAAAAGTGTGCAGCAAGCATATAGAGGAGGTGACTAAGAGGTGCATATTGTCATTGGTTAGAACTGACATGACATGGTCTACACATGCTGTTTTGTGGGGCTGTATTTGCTATAGCCCAAAAATATTGTGTTGTTATTTTGTTTTGTTTGTTTTCTAGAAGCTTTCTGTGCTTTGGAGTCCACTTCAGAATTATGTACTTCTTCAAAAGGATAGCTTTTTTCTGTTAGTTCATTTAAGCCGAAATTCTTGATGTATGGGCAAATAATCTCTGAAATTTCCCAATGTAGCTGTGAAAAAGGATTAAGCTGTTCATATCCTTAACATGCTGGGGAAGTTAGTCAGGGGAGTCTAGACTGATAGTCAGGAGTTTCACTAACAACACTGAAGTATATAATGTTGCACTACTGTTTTATTTTTCATTTGGAATTTGTTCCTCGAAACCTCTTGTTTGAGGCTTCCAAAAATTTACCTGGTGGTGAAACTTTGGGCAGCATACACCATTTTGGTGTATGCCCTAAACAACAACTTTGCCAGCTCTGTGTGAGGATTAAATGCTGAATATGTGTGTGAACATAAATCTTTTGATCAAATGTTATGTACTGTTATGGCAATTCTTTCTTCATTGTGATTCAGGGTGATGTTCTCCTTGTTCTGTGTTAAGAACAGCTCATATTTGTGACACAGCCTAATCTTTGTTCCGGTCTTATGAAAAATAAGTGAGAGCAGCATCTCAACCCCATAGTTACTTAAATAGAAATAACAAATGTAGCAAGTAGAAGTAGCAAAATAGAAATTTGTATTTGTTGGTATTCTCAGGTTTAGTGGCATATACACAAAGGCAAAATAATTTTCTGTGGATTTTGAAAGTTCCTCCTGTAGATGAAAGGGGCCTTTTTCTTGCTGACTGTATTCCATGGCTTGTAATGAGTATTGGAGAGTTCATTTGCGAAGAAATAATAAATAAGGCAATACAGTGTCCTGCAGTATTGGAGGGTTTTGTTTGCAGCCACACCACTCTTTGGGCTGCCTGCAGTGAATCTTGGCCAGTCTTAGAAAAAAGCCCTTGTAAGAAGAGGTTTGTTTTAAACCATACCATGTTGTGAACTAATAACTGAACTGGTCCTTGGCATGGCTGTGAAGGGAGTAGGAGCAGGAAGGAGGGGAGAAGAGATATGTGGAGATGGCTGGATTCCCTGAAGCTCTCCAGGTGTACTGGCATAAAGGAGACTCTTCACTGGGAGTCTGCACCCTGGCTTCTGCACAAGAGAAGGCCTCCCTGGCATGATCCAGTCACTTTTGGGTGATGTGCAAACATCAGAAATGTTGGGAGAAGTCAAGTAAAGTTCAGGGAGGAGGGGTGGGAATTGCTTCATGGTGGAGTGTTTAGATGAGAAGAGCAGAAGTTAGGTGGGAAGGATGGGGGAGGAGAAGGGGAAACAGTCTCTGTGGTATCTTTTGCCATTAAGACACTGGAAGATGCCATGGTGCTTCCCATTTAGGTGACTACATTAAGCCATAATTCACCTGGCTGTTTGCATGGGTTTTCCATTGATACCAGTGGAAGACACCCTTTAGATGTGAATAGTCCTGTAAAGAGCCCTATGTCAAATTCAGGTATGTAGCCATTGAATTTGACATCCTTATCAGGGTGTGAAATTACCCATGGGTTCATCTTGTCCCATTGTCCTTAGGAGAAAGCTGTCACTGTGGTTTATACTGGAGTAACGTCAACTTGATTTCTGAAGGCAGATCTCAGAAAGAGAATTCCTGAATCTGTGTGGCATGTGAGTTTCAGAGGAGGAAGAGGCAGCTGCTTACAACTGTCCCTTAGTTGACTGCTTCTGGAATTACTAGTGTTCTGCACTTGAACATGTTAGAAATGCTCCTCGCTGGTGATTTTGTGGAGAGCTATGACACCATGTTCCTGTAAACTGGTTATTAATGTATTTTTATTTGTATGTGCATTGCTGTTCTGCATTATCTAGTTCTGAAGCCTTCATTCTGACATAAAAATTACTGTTTATTAATAAAGTATTTATAATTTGGTTGGTATAAGATGCAGAAAGAGACAGACTTACTGTTCCATGGAAATTGGAATTTCCTTGTAAATTGATACTATTGTTTGACAGAAAAAAGGAGCACAGTTTGAATAATAAAGTTTTAATTGCTTGTTCCCATTACCCCAGTTGCATATCTTGTCCTGAATGACCTCACATTTACACATTTGTACTCTGAAATGTTGGGGGGTTTTAATGTTTCTTTAAAATATTTATTTATTTATTTAATCTCTTCCATTTAAACCAGGGGACGATTATTTTTTTTTAAGTTTTCACCATGCATACTTAAATGGGTGAGGAAGTGAACATGTTCCTCTCTTGAGATTCACTGTGGCTGTGTGTCTTTGCTCTTGGGTTTCAGTTAGTGGTGTGGCCAGCATCTCCAGTCCTAATGGCATGGGGGAGTTCACCAGCATTGATGCAGAGCTGTCAGACAGGAGATGGGGCAGTGAGCCATGGCCAGTCTCCCTAATGCAGGACACCTGCCCATTGCCTGCTTCCTCCTCCTTTCAGGTGCAGTGTGCAGATCCTGACAGTGATGGCTCCCATGACTTGTTAGGCGCTTTAGAACCGACCCTGGGCACATGCAGACAGCTGATGCTGCCTCTCTGATGAACTTCCTCAGCCCCTGCTTAGTCCAGATTTCAGCCTTTCAAACCCTTTCTAATATTGACCTCGGACGTGCCCTTTTAGTTGTTGCCTCCAAATGTGTATTTTTGTATTATTAAGCCAGCATTTAAAAATAATAAAAACTGGTGTGGGAATTATATTTCTTTGTTTTCTTTGGGTTCTGTTACCATTCCTATTTCTAAAAATATCCTTGAGCCGGTTATCTGCTGATCCTGTTGTCCGCTGAGCTACTTTTCCCAGCAGTTCAGCTTGCTTTGGCCTCTGCTGAGTCAAGTGAAAATAGAAGTGCGTTTTGATGTTGTAACAGGTGAGTCCAGAAACACAGCTTGTCTCATATAATGTATGTGCTGGAGCTGGTCCCCCTCCTGAGCACTCTGGTCACCTTGCTTGCTAACAGCTAACAGTAGTCCTTCCAAGGGGCACTTGTCTTGGTCATCCAATACTAGAGTAAGTTGAGTCACATGCTGGTGGTGCTGGTTTTGGTTTGTTTGCAGTGAAAACCTGACATCTCATTCTCCTGGAGATTGAGATTCACTTGAATTGAGGCAGCTGTATTTGCACACAGGACGTAGCCCAGGACTACTCCAGTTGCCAGCCAGCTTGATTGGGCATAATACAAAAGTGGGTGGAAGGTTCTTGCCTTTTTTCTAGCTCTTGTGACTTCAGAACCGATGTGAATGAATCCAAGCAGGTAAACACTGCCACTGGGAACCTGTGGCCCAGGCTTTTTTAGCCTTCCCACCCTGAGAATTTTGCTTCCTCTGCCTAGTGCTGGTGGCAAAAGCACTCTGTTTAGCTCATCAGATAGTGGCCAAAGTAGTCACAGACCTTTCAAAATTCAATTTCTTAATTCTGCTGGGTATTTTGGTAACTCTGAAACTGGGGGATGTGTGGCACTGTCTGTTTCAGTGATTTGCTCTCCTGTAAAGGCACATATTTTGGAACATGCTTCTGTGCTTGTTTTCTGTAAGTGGAATATGAATGCATTCATCCTGAGAAAAAAAACAAAAGAAAAAAACTACAAAAACTCTGGCATTATTAGGATAAAATCCTGCAAGGTAGGAAGATTTTTGTTGGGTATCTTATTTTTTTTTTTATTTTCTGATTGTAGTGACATGAGTAGATGTTACAATATCTGTTCCTCTAGATTGAGACAGAATATTAATTTCTGGACTATGTGATGGGAGGCTGCCAGATTAACTTTATGGTGAGTTGTTCCCCACTGCTTGTATTGGTAGATGACAGGACAAAAGCAGTGAGGTTGTGTTCAGTACTTTTATTGGCAGCATGAGTGACTGCAAATGCAGTATGAATTTGCAGTGATGAAGTCTGCAAAACACTAAAGGATA